CTCCTGCCCCCACTCCCCATGTTGAAAGGAGGAAAAAAAAAAAAAAAAAAAATCTTAGAATCAAGCAAATGCAGTAGTTTGCCAAATGAAATCTACTGATGTAAGATTTCAAGTTTTAGAATTATTTGGCAAACACTAAAGTTAGACAAACAGTTTGTATAAAAAGTTACTTCAGTAATCTTGTCAAAAAAGTGGCAATTTTAGTCTTTAGTACGTGGTCTTATCATTGATTTTCAAAGTACCGTGATTTTTCACTTTGCAATGTTTCCAAGGCCTCTGTCCGAGAACTCAATAGCTGATCAGCTTCCTGCAACCGCACTTTAAGCACAGCCAGTTGGGAATCCTTGGCAGCAACAGCTTCTGTAAGGTCATCAATTTGAGCCCTTAGTTCTCGAATCACCCTGTCACTCTTTGAATGGTCAACATTCCACTTTTCTACTCTTGTTCGGGCTTTATTTAGTTCTACAAAGTAAAAGAAGAGATACGTATAAACATATACATTTAAAAAATAATCTGTTATATTTTCTGGAACAGATGTTAATACTGCTAGGTCTCACTTAAAGTTAGTAGGTCAAATTAAGTGTAAATCAGAAATTAAATACAACCCTCTGAATTTACCTAACACTGGAACAGTAAAAGCTAAAAGGCAACTCGAATAATAGAACACAGTCTCTCTTTAACCTAAGATGATTATGAAATAAACTTAAAAGCCATGTTTAAAGTGATGTGCATGTTTAAAGTGTTGAGTTTTTACTGAAGATTTCATTTTACTAAAGACCATGTACTGACTTTGCATGAAAGTTAAAATTCGATATTTAAGTCACAAGTACTTTAAAACATTTTTTCAAAAAACCTTAACCATTGTTGTTACCATCTCTGATCACTCAGACAATTTTACATTTTAATTACTTCTCTTTGCATGTTTCCATTCAACGAACTTAGCCAAAGAACATTTCAGATAAGACAGACTGACCTGTCAGTTTCTAGCCAGTTCCACCACTGGGTCCCATCTGGCTACTCTACAAGATGTGTGCTACGATGTCTGGGTTTCAAATATTTCAGGGAATTGTAATTCATGTTAACAAAAAAACAAACAGCTACGTTTTAAAAAACAAATAAACAAAAAACTGTTCAGGTTCCTAAAAGCAATGGCCTTCGTAAACTCTGATTTTATAAAATTTAAATGTTACACCTTATTAAGCTGACTCTCTTCCTTTAATCACAACTCTATTTTTGTTATCGAACAAACTTTTGCTGACAAATTCTTTATAGTAAATTTTCATTCCAAATAATTTATTATTGACCACTGAAAAATATTATGCAATAAGGAATAAGGTACATATGTTGTCAAGACTTAATCTGCTTAAGTGGTTACCTCAACTTTTTGATGCTCTCCACCTCTATACTTCAACTAGTAGGCACACTTTGCAAACGCTTGTTTATCAATCTCAGAAACAGTAACTATTTTGACAGATAAGCTGCCAAAGCAAAATACCTTCTTGCATTTCTTTCGATCTTTGAATTAATGAAGCCATTTCTTGATTTAGAGACTGAACTTCATTCCGCAGCAGTTGATTCTCCAGGCGAAGATTGGATAGCTCATGTGACTTGCAATCATCATTAGCTGAATTAGAGTTAGCTGCTGTACTTAACAGTGCATCTTTTGTAGGGTCCACTTGTGCTCCCAGTCCAGAATCTGAACTGTCAGAGGTATCTGTATAAACAGAGCTGAGTTAGATCATTAGATAACACTTATTTGTTGGTTGATCTACTTAAAACAAAGTAGATCAATTTCATGATGTACTTTAATTTAAATTCAATCTATTTTTTATTATATACAGACAGAAAATCTAAGGTCTCTCCATGTTATGTATTTTATACACAGGTGCATCATGAAATAGCTTTTCACAATATGCAGACCTTCAATGTACAATATTATAATACACACAAGATACAGATTTTTTTTACAGCATGGCAAGAAGAGAGACAAGAGCAATTTACATTTAGTAACATGATGTTCAAGTAGTACAAACTTAGGGTTGTAAAAGTCTAATACAATAAAAGCCTTAGCCTGTCTGTCTGTCATGCTCTGGGCCAACTGTGCAGGTGCTGCTGCAATTAGGAAGGCAGCAATTGGCTGGCCTGGGTGGGCGCAGATACAACTTTGCACTGCTGCTCAGGGAAGGAGGCAGAGGCAGTCGGGGTCACTGCACTGCACCCCCTGACAACAGCCAGGATGGGGAGAAGGCAGCCACAGTGGTGGTGTGCCACTGCCAGCGACAGCCAGCAGGGAGCGGGGGAAGGGGAGGTGACAGTCAGGGTGGCAGCACCCTCCCTGCCCCCCCCCCCCCCAACAGCTGGCAGGGACGGGGAGGTCACAGTAATGGCACCTACCCCACCTTTGTCGCCGGGCCCCAACAACAGGCAGGAGGGAGGGAGAGGAGGAGGGTGTGGTGAATGGAGCTGGATGTGGGGCTCCGTCACCACCCATCATTCTTGACAGGCACTTTGCTAGCGTTAATATATATTAACTACTCTGTTATAGAAAGTATTTTCATCAGATGAGCACTGTAATTACAAACAACTGACTTAATTTTTTTAATGTATTAAATTCATATTAGCCACCTTATATGTTTATATAATTTTCAAAATAAAATTTGTATCTTTTTCTAAGTGCCATTTATCTTCCATACTTCTGTCATAAATTGCCATCAAGTCTCAATTTTTTTTAACCAGTATGGTTTAGTAAAGATACAAATAGACTTTTAAGATTCCTACACCAGGCTCCTTATTAAGCTTTCCTCAAAGAGTAATGCACTTACGTATATTTGTTGGGGGGGGGGGGGGGGGGGGGGG